ATCAACATTCCAGGCTGAGATGAATCACATCCTACGGCGCCTATTAGGCGAGTGTTTGGTGGTGTACCTAGACGATATCTTGATCTACTCAAAGAACATGAAGGAGCACGTGGAACATCTGCGAAAAGTTTTCAAGATCTTGCGGAAAAACAAATTCCACGTGAAGCTATCAAAGTAGACTTCGACTTGAAGAAGGTGCAGTTTCTCAGGCACAAGGTGAGTGCCAAAGGCATACACGTGGTTCCGCGGAAGATCGAAGCTGCCAAGAAGTGGAAAGTTCCTGAGAACGTAAAGGAGTTGCAACAGTTCCTAGGCTTCACCAATTACTACAACATGTTCGTGCCACAGTACGCTAAGATAGCAGCGCCATTGACGAACTTACTGGAAAAGGATACGCCCTATACATGAGATTCTTCTCAAGAGCAAGCCATTGAGCAGCTACAAACAACACTGACTACTGCACCTAAATTCATCCTACTAGATCAAGACATAGATTATGTGGTGGAAGCAAACGCTAGTGACCATGCATTCGGAGCAGTACTTATGCAGGATCCCAAACGCGCTTTGCAGCCCATCACCTATTTCAGTAAATAGCTACACACGGAGCAGAACGGAATTACCCTATCCACAACAAGGAAGCCTTAGCGATAATCACAACCTTCAAGGCATGGACGTGTTATCTAGAGGGAGCTATGACCACAGTCTACACGGACCTCTGCAGTCTCAAATACATGAAGTCGTAGCCTACGCTCTCATGGCGACAGGTGCAGTGGATGGATTTCTTGGAAACACACTTTCAACCAGAAATCGTCTACAAGCTAGGGCTACAGAACAAGGCCAACGCACTGAGCCGCCCAGGACATGTCGCAGGCATCCAGCTCGATGGGATGAACCCTCTGCTAAAGTGTCTATTCCAATATGGGTACTCCGTGGATGCAGAGATCACTACAGCAAAGAAACAGAAGCTGTTACAGTGGGAGAAAGACTTAGCAGTAAATAAAGGTTCATGGAAGATTTGGGTGCAGAACTATGCCCCACTTTGACATATCTTACTAGAGGAGTTTCACGACGTAGCATACGTGGGACATTTCGGGAACAACAAGATGTTAGGAGGAATAGCTATTACTACTGGCCCTGGATGGCAGCCGACGTGCAGCAGTTCGTCACCTCGGGCGAGACGTGGCAGCGGGTGAAGAGTAGCAAGTAGAAAAAGGCAGGGCTAGTTTGACCTCTACCCATACCGGAGTAGCCATGGCAAGTCGTTAGCTTGGACTTCATTACTAGGCTTCCTTCAGCCTCACGAGGGCATGATGGTATACTCATGGTGATCGATACGTTCTCTAATACGAGACATTGAATTCTGACCAACGCCATGGCTACCGCTGAAGCAACTGCTCACCTCTTCTTCGACCGCATTGTCACCATCCATGGCATCCCCGCTACACTCACATCGGATAGGGACCCAAAGTTCACAAGTAAGTTATGGAGGGAACTCGTGGGATTGTTGAGGAAGCTTGCGATCTCTTTGGTATACCACCTGCAGACTGACGGACAGACCAAGCGACTCGATCGGGTGGTTGAACAGTTACTACGGCAACTTACAAAGATCATGGCAACCATTAGGTAATACAATTACCGATGCTTAAGTTCACTTATAACAATGCATCGCACGCAACTACAGGGAAATCTCCATTCTTCCTGTGTTACGGACGAGAACCACTTACACCACAGCAGCCAACCATACCGGCACACGTCCAAGCCGCACATGACTTTGTCACCGCCATGCAACAATCATGGGAGAAGACTCAGTGACGTCTCACCATGATGCAGAACTCCCAGAAGTAGTATGCAGATCGACAACGATGATGCCGCTCAGTAGCAGTCGGAGATCAGGTGCTTCTCGACACACGCAACTTGGACTTGTCTCATCTACCGTCCAAGCTCCGACCTCGCATCTGTTGAGGCAATGGTGATTTTGACTCCAGTGACATTCCGCTTGCGCTTACCAACTACGTAGAAGCTTCACAATGCTTTCTATGTGCAGCTACTGAAGCCCTACAAGAACCCCAATCAACATTTCCAGGGACGACAGCACCGCCACCACCACCTGTTCTCGTACAGATGAACCAGAGCACAAGGTGGAACGAATGAGTTCTTGTTCATCAACGTAGACACGGTGACACACTCGAGTTTGTGATACGTTGGAAGGGATATGACATGTCAAAGGACAGTTGAGTTGTAGAAGTTGATATGGGCAACGCATGCCATGCTCTAAACAATTATCTTGTGAAGTGGGGTGTTTCTCACGCCATGCAGCTTTGAGGGGGGAACGTGTGAGAGTACGACGGCCGTGCCTACTGAGATTTACCTATATTTATTTTACCTTGCATTATCTTGCTTAGTTTTGTTTTAGCTTGCATGCTTTTGCTTAATTGCCTAGTTTCGTTGCTTAACTATAATTATCATAGATGCACCGAAATAGCTTGTCTACACCGAATTCGGTGATTTTCGGTTGCCATCGAATTGCTTCTACTGAATTTGGTAAGGATCCGTTTAGGACACTTTGCAACCATCGGAACCTTCACGTAACACCTGGTTACCTTGCCTTGTGTCGAGCCTATATATATCTCGTGTTTTACCTAGGTGATCAATCAATCATTTCTGAACCCGTTCCTCGATCCTCACAGGGGAGCTTCACCATCCGGCGCATCAACTTGTGGTCCTACAGAAGGCCCTCGATGACATGCGTGATGTACGACGGCATCAAGTAGGCGACTCATTTCATCCGCAAGTCAAAAATTTGTTGCGCGCAGTTGAAGTATGCCGTCTCTGACTTATGCTTTCCAGGACTGAGGTTGGTCAACCACTACTCAGGTTGACCGATGAAGAGATAGTCAGCCGCCTTGTACGTCTTCATGATGAACGACCAGGCTTCGATTCTAGCTTCTTCACCAAGTCGGCAAGGCTTCCACGCCACTATCGGTGACCTTCCTCAGTTGCGCAGTCTTTAGCTGTAGCTCAATCGACTCCACCCACATCGTTAGGTCATGTCGACTTTTGAGCACCTTGGGCACAGGGATTTTCTCCGGCGAAAACTTGAAGTAGCTTTACATTAGGGTGATGCTGCGTCTCGCCCGGCTGACATATTCAACATTCACGTTGACCCTACTCCACTTCGCCAGGTAGCGACGTCGATCATCGATGACACCTCGCGCACTCCCTGCTGTTGCTGACCGCAGAACTTGCGCATGCGTCCCACCAACGTCAACGATGTCAGCTCTGACATGTCTTTGGATCACTTCGTGCACCACCCTTGGACCTCCGTCAAAGAGGAGGTTGCCGTCTCCTTCGTTGTCCCCAACATGGGGAGCGACAGACTCTTCGTCGCCACTTCAATATCGGAAGGTGGATGCTCGTGTCAAATAAGTAAGTTAACGATTCTCTTTTGTAGTGAAACTCGTGCTAATTTCACCTACAAGTAGAACGAACCTGCACAAGTGTAAACGATGCCGTGATCAGCCCGCACACTCGTAGCCTTCATCGCAGTCTACTCCCGTTGTACAGCGACTCCCTGGATGGTGCACCATATAATGTCAAGGCAAACTCGATAGAGCAAGAAAGGCATTGCAACACACCTAGCAACCTAGGAAGGTGACTTTCCAACAAAGCAAGGAAGGCATCTTGCTAATGCTGTAGCAAAGCGGCTTGCCAGTGCTGCACCAAGATGGACTGCCTATACTGCAATCGGAGGTGAACACGTCCGCACATGCGGATCACCTACAGTAAACAATGGCGTGCACATCGTGCACGTGATGCATATTCGCAGGTGTCGGGTTTTAGAGCACGTGGTGCTGTTTCTGCGTATCTACTTTTGCGAAAACCGCATGGGGCAAAATTCGCGCACATGCAGAATCTCGGCAATCAGTTACTTTGTCGACCACCAAGACGTCGCTCAGCTGGCTCCGCCGACCATTGGTCGAAGGTACGGTAGCTGCAAGATACATTGCTGCCGGACCAGATCAATTTGTGGTGGAACGCTGCAATCCATAGCCACCCAAATTTTACCAACTCTCTTCCTTTATAGAGTTGCATCCCACATGGTACGGAATTTACTCATGACTTGAGCAGTCTTTGTCTGCTACTCAAGCAGGAGGATGACACTAGCATAAAAATATTCCTCCATATATGGTAAAAACTACAGCGACATGGCAGAAAATAGTAAACAATGGTAGGGGCTACTAAAACATCTATAACAATAAAAAGAATATGAGTCCAGCCAATGATCTTCTCTTCCGACTACCATACTGTATATTTTGTATATTTATTCACTATGAATGACCTAAATCAATAAAACTAGTATGGTAACTAACAGATATACATTCTAACATCATACACAACAACTTGAACCGACAAGGGCTGGTGTTGATTTTTGTTCGAGGTTGATACATGTTGATACCTGCGTGGCCCGTGCAAAGGGATAGGAGAGTGAGGGAAAGTGGAGGAAGGGGTGAGGGTTGAGAGCTGAAGAAAAACGCATCCAATGCTGTCTGGGCCATGGTCAAGCTGTGATAATCTTGTAGTATGCATGTCAAACCTGGAGCATTTGCAAAGCCTTGCGAAACCATGTGATACATGGTATCATGGGCAACAAATACATGCGAATGGGAAAGTGCACACCTCGCGGTGTCGAGAGTGTATCATGTCGTAAAGTTGTTTGCTCTCCTTGGCGATGCACTGGAATGCCTCCTCAACATTGATGTCTGCTTTAGCGGACTGGATAAGAGTAAAACAGAGTGGGATGGGGATTGTGCCGCGATGAACAAATCCAAGCACATTCTGTATGAATGCAATATCAGAGAATACGAAACAAGGCAATGCCAGATTCATGCGTGTGCCAATTTTATAGCCAACACAATCCACGTAAAGGGGGGGAAAACGTACGGTTTCGAAAAAGCTGAGATTGAACTCGTTAGCCAGTTGTTGCCCTTGTTCCTTGGTGATCACCTGATGTACAGCAAGGAGGACGAGGTTCAGAGAGTGGGAGAGAGAGAGAGAGAGAGAGAGAGAGAGAGAGAGAGAGAGAGAGAGAGAGAGAGAGAGAGAGAGAGAGAGAGAGAGAGAGAGGAATGTTAACACTGGGCTTTCTCTTCAGAAATTTTTAGGAAGCCAGAGTTCACAACAGGCTGAAGCATGGTTCATGGTAAGTTGTGTTGAACAACTTACCCTCCGGTAGTCCATGTCAGCCTTGTTGCCGACAAGAACCACACGCACTCCGCGAGTCGAATGCTCCTCAATGCTCTTGATCCACCCTCGCACATCTGTGCACACATGCAAAAAAACATCAGTTGGATATTTTAAAATTATAATAATGGAAATTACACAAACGAATGAGCGAAGAAATGACTACGAGCTTACTGTTGAATGATTTCGGGTCGGTGATGTCGTATAAGAGAATGATCCCATGAGCGTTCCGGTAGTAGGCTGCAAAGAGCCAGTACGAAAGAGCATGCATGACAGAGGACATCCGGTAGTGGCACAACAGATAACTGTGATAAAGATAGGCATGGCTTGGATGATGTGCAGCTGGGTAAAGCACAGTTAACAAACTCAGCAGATTCAGCTATGCTTGCCAATTGAACAAGATGAATCACACAACACGGATGATGGTCATATTTACCTTCAGTGATGGTGCGAAATTTCTCCTGCCCAGCTGTATCCCATATAGACATCTTCACCGGCTCACCATCGATTTCCATTGTGCGGATCAAGAAGTCAACTCTGCAGTCAAGAAAGGAAAAATAAAGGGTTTTACATAATCAGAAAGCACATACTTACACTTCACTATAATCAGAATCCGCATACTTACTATCCAAACTAGGAGTATTGTTGCATGTGTGTGCATGTGAGTGTGTGCACAAACATGTGTGGCTGAGTGTGAAGAACTATGAGCGTGTGAGTTAATGTGCATATTGTTTTGGTCTGAGTTGGAGCAGAGGGAGAGAGGAAAGAGCAGGAAGGAAGGAAGTGGGGAAGGAGGCAGGGGACGTGGGAGAAGGAGAAGAGGGGAAAGGAAAAACTGTGTTGTACGTACCCAATTGTGGATGTGAGGTCGCTCCTAAAATTGTCTTCTGAAAACCGGAGAATAAGACTGCTCTTTCCCACAGCTGCCATGAACCACACGGAGAAATGTAGGGCGCAGAGAGAGAGGTATTGGATTCTGATTTGTGAGAGAAAAAGGACACTCGGTTATGTATCCATGTTTGTTGCAATTTTGGATGTGAACGCTACCCGTGTAAGCTTGGAAAAAGAATTTGCTGATAAAGCTATAAATGCGAACCGAAGACCAACAAATAGATGGCTTCAAGCCATCAGGTCTGATGCCCCAAGTTGGGCCAAATTCTCGGAATGCTATCAGATAATTGCATGCACTGATAAGTTAAACCCGCAAATACTGCATACCACTGTCTCCGATAAGGAGAATCTTGACCGCTGCAGCAAGTTTGCTCTTCTGTCCTCTTGACGCGCTATAGTCCTTCATGACGTTATTTTGGTAACCCATCCTTGGCATATCTCGGACCTTATTGCACTTCCCACCGCTAATCCTTGACATAAGTTCACGGTCTTCTCTCTTCAGAAAAGGGGAGTTCGGTACGTCGATATCTGCTTCGAGGGTGGTAAAAACGCTGGTCTGGTCTGGACTAGGGTCTGGCGTTTTACACCTGATTGCAATGCTGGTCGGAAGAGAAATAATGAGCTAGAAGAGTGACGTTGAATTGTTGGATGCTGCTGGCTGCCAAAATACCTTCACTAATTTGTGCAACCTCGCGACTCACAAAACTCGGCGTCTTGCTGAATTCAGATTCTCTGGTAAAGTGAGGCGTGTTTACCTTGACGACCACGCTTGACCAGTCCGTGGCAATTTATTTCAACCAATCAACAACACTCACACAATGTTTGTTTGGCGATTCGGGGCAATGCCTTGTCCTAGTGGGTAGCGTTCCCCCCCCAACGTGAGAGCCTCTCGCGTTTCTTCGCCGTTTCTGGTTACTGGCGTGGCTCCGTTGTCAAAGCCAATTGACCTGCAGTGAAACTGGCTGAAAGTCGCCGTACTCAATATAGCATCCTTCACTGATTTATGCATTACTTGTTGAGCATCCAGTCAAATTCCCAGCCTACATCCATCAACAAGGTGACGCAAATGTAGGGAACAGACTGTGGCGTAGAGTTAATAGCTTGACTGTCTTCCATGCAGTACTATTTCACATCAGACAGCATACAATCGCGAACCAGACTTTTCATACATGTTGCTACATCTAATCACCACTGCTCTATTTCTTCCATTCCTCCGGGTTGTAAGAGGGCGGTGGGCGTGGCACAATGCTCTTCTTCCACGCGCGGTCCACCTTTCGCGACTCCCTCTTCCCAACGCCCTGCTCCAACTCCCTCTCCCTCCTCACAGTCAGCATTCGTGCGATCTGCCAGGGACAGAAAAGTGATACAAATGAGACAATTTTGAAACCAACATACAAATGAAGCACTCTATATATGTCCTGCCACACAGCAACTGCACAATATCTGTGCATGAGCAGATTCCAGAGCCACTTCAGTGAAGCTGGCAACATAGCCACCCATACCAACCAATATGTAATAACCTATCAACTGTGCACACTGTACATCACACTGTACGTCCAACAGTACGTTCCACAGTACCTCAATCTCCCCCCTAGCAATGAGCCTACACGGAAGAGCCTGCGCACATGGGCCTGCACACATGAGCTCCTCAATCTCCCCCCTAGTAATGAGCCTGCGCCCATGAGCCTGCACCCATGAGCCTGCACCCATGAGCCTGCACCCATGAGCCTGCACCCATGAGCCTGCACGCATGAGCCTGCACGCATGAGCCTGCACCCATGAGCCTGCACCCATGAGTCTGCACGCATGAGCTCCTGTTTTGAGTTTTGAGACGTCTCAAGACATGAGCTCGTGACCATGAGCCTGCGCCCACGAGACTGCGCGCATGAGCCTGCACCTATGAGCCTGCGCCCATAAGCCTGCGCGCATGTGTCGGTGCACAGTCCACCTATTCCCTCCCTCACTTTCTTCGCCTGCACCCCTTCCCCTCCTCAATCGACTGTCCTCATCCCACGGATTCCCCCATCCATATTCTTCGCCTTTCTTCTGCCTCCTACCGCCCCCTCTTGTCCCCTCCCAAGCCCCATCGCTTGCCATCCCTCGTCCATTCATCTTTCCCCTCTCCCCTTCATCTGCAGATTTTCCACCCCGGTTCCCACTCCCCCCTCCACCATTCCCCCCTTCCCCTTTCCCATGTCCCCACTTCCCCCCGTGCCTCCCCATTTTCCTCACCTGCACTTTCCCCACCCGAAAGTTCCCAAAAGCTTCTCACCCGCTTGTGGATGCGGCCGAACTCGCTGGGCTTGAACTCGAGGCGCGTGGCCTGCTTGGCGCGCAGCAGGAAGAGCTCGCCCTTGAGGTCCACCACCGCCTGCTCGATCTCCGCCGTCCCCATCCCGCGGATCTCCGCCAGCTCCTCCTGCTTCTTCACCGCGCTCACGCGCACCGCGCCGCCGGATGCGGCGCGAGACGCGGAGGTGCTGGAGCAGGCGAGGGACGGGAGCGAGAGGCGCTGGCTGCTGACGTGGCAGCTACGAGAGCTGGATAGGTTTGCCAGCCTGGCCGCCTGGGGAGAGACCAGGTGGGGGTGGATGGGTGGAAGGGTGGGGGACGAAGGGAAAAAAAGTAAGGAGACCAGAGGGTATAAACAAGTGGCTGCGGTGTTAGATGAGTGAGGCGTGAATACGTGATATTCGCAAAGAGGAGGAGGCTGGGATAGAAGCGGGAGCGGGATTCGAGAGCAGCCGAAGGGACCATTATACACCAGGGATGAACGTTCCTCATCACCCGTACTGAGAAGTAAGCTGAGACCGAGGGCATATCCGCAACTGAACACCGCTGGTGCTCTAGTTAGTGCTGTGGTCCGACGCGCTGACGACAAACTCGTTTAGAATCTGTACGATTAGGGCATTTCTACAATATATTAACAGATTTATCGCGCGCTCTATTGATGGTGTGATCCGGCAGTCGGAGACTCGCTAAACCCTGCATAATTCACCACTGGACGAGGAAGCAGTTCTCATTAGAGAGCTTTGCAACTACTGCAAACGACTCGTTTCAACGAAGTCAGAAAACTAAGGGAAACCCTGAAAAACGAGGTATCGACCAGACATCCTGCGAGGCAGAAAAGACAGGGAAGAACCGGAGACGGACTAGCGTAACCGTTGACCTGCACCAAACGCTGACAATGCACTCGCTTTGGAAATGTTTTATCTGCGAAAACAATCAAGGCTTCACAATGGAGCCAAGGAGGTTTCAGAGCGAAACCAAGAAGGCCTAATGCTGCCGGCATTCGCGAAGTACGAACGCAATATTCCTAGCCGTGCTCCCTCACCGTGCAGGCTGAGGCTTGCTGCAAGCAGGAAAGCGACGAGGACGCCATGGCTCCGCGCGACGATCAAACCACGAGCAGTCTAGGCTGACCAAAATGAGTTCCTGCTTCCTAAGCAACTGAAGGTCACAAGAGTAGAGGGGTGGGCTGGGCTGGGAGTGGCAGAAGCAGAGGTAAGGGCAGGTAACACAAAAGCAGGGCCCGTATACATACATGTTAAGAAACGGTTAATTCTGTTTTGGAAGCAGTTCAGAACGATGCGGGCAAGAACCAGTTTGGATGTTCCTTGGGGTTGGTCGGGATGGATTGATGAGATGATGACGTGGAACGAGAAAGTGTGGAGCTGTGGGCTGGGAGCGTCCTCCATATAGGCGTTTGTGTCGTGGCTACCTCGCCAGTTTTTCTTATAGCAGAATCCGCACTGTTCAAAGCAGACAAAGGCTTTGTTCAATTGGCCGCCAAAGGTTGAGCATTATAGGGTAACCAGCTAACTCTAAAATCGAAGAGCCTTATATCCAGGCGGTACTCGAAGGGAGAACTCGATTGAGAACGAACTGTGTCGACGTGACTGGGGAAAATTACGCTGTAGGTCCATATCCCAGTAAACTCTTTGTTGTACACGAAATGAACTGCCACGTTGCCACCAATTGTCAATAGGAGTGCACGACAGCTTTGAAATCTTACACACCACACCCAACTTTTTGCATCAATTTTCAGCTGTAACCTGTTGCCGCATTTCCGGGTTTGTGACTGCAAACGCTCATGAAGTAGGGAAATTACGAACCAGGCAACTGCAGACAGGCAGTGTACTACAGTGTGGACATTTGATCAAATGAACCTCCCCTTCATTGGGGAACCGTGTACGGAACCTGTCCTGACGATCTCCAGCCTGAGACACGTCCAAATTTCTGACACACGGAGTGTACCCCTCTGTTCATTGCAATGTGGGGCAGGGATGGAATGATTGCAGTCAATTACACGTATTTCCCAACCTGGTACTGTATCATCAATGCTTTGCGACCACCACATACCCCACGCGTCGAAACTTCGGATGCTGCGGAGAATGCCGTGGTGAACAAAAAGATCTTACAGCTGCCCCAGACCAACAAAAAGACAAAACTACTCTTTTGGCTCTGCGGAGAAGTTCACACTCCTTTGTTTCCACCTCCCCCACCAGATTCCCGCCAACGAACCGACTACTGCTCAGTCCAGACTTTTTACCTCCCACAGGTAACGGAACAGAACAGAAAGGTAGGTGGGTTTCTTGCTCTACTGTACGTAATTAGTTCTGCTGCTTGCTCTGCTGCTGCCTTTGTTCCTCCGCTCCACTCCGCCGCATCCCTCGTTTCCTTGGCGTCTCTTCGTTCCTCCCGCCCTTGCTCTCCTTGTCCAGCCTGCATCTCGATTCTCGTCGCACCGCCGCGTTTCATTCTCCGTCCTGAGTCGATCCGAAGCTCCCATTCCGAAGCTCGCACACCGGAACTCACACTCCGTAGCTTGCATACACTCCGAAGCTCTCGTTCCGAAGCTCGCACTCCGAAGCTTTCATCCCGAAGCTCGCACTCCGAAGCTCGCATTCCGCCTCGCAAGTGACACAACCGCCGCGTCGCCGTAGTACTTCTAGCCGGATTCGACACAATGGAAAGTGACGTAGTGAGAGCGTGACGTAGTACGAGTGTGACACTATGGGGAGTGACGCAATAGGGGGTGACGTCATGGGTAGTAGTAGCAGGAGTGACGTAAGAGGGAGTGACGTAACAGGGAGTGGCAAAAACGGAGGCTTTTCCCAGCGTGCTTCAGGCCAGCAATGGCGGAGACGGCAGCGGCAGGAGCGGCTATGGTGTATTTCCGTGCTCGTGCTTCTCTTGCTCGCACCGACCATGCAGTACCATCGCCAGCACCCTCAGCAGCTGCAGCACCAGCGGCAGCAGCAGCGCATGCAGCGGTATTACTCGGGCGCCATGGCTTCTTGGGGCACTCGCGTGTTTCCACCAGACTGTGAGTCGCGAGTGTTTTCACATTTTAGTCCGCGTAGTGGAAACAGTCCGCAGGTGTTTTCATATTTAGATCCCCTGTAATGAAACGATTTTGTCCCTCGACTCAAAAGCAGCAGCAGCAGCAGCGCCAGCAGCGGGCTTCCTACGGTTCGTTTCGACCGGTGTGCGACGCGCAGGCTGGAGCTTCGTATAGGTGGATAGGTGGGGATGCACGGTTTGTAACGTACGGATCGTTTTAAAGCGGCGGCGCAGGGTGTGCGTACGGGCTGTAGCAGCGTAAGAAGTTGATAAATGACACGCTGTAGCATGTAGTCGTAGATTCTCGTTCTCAGAATCTCGACCGTTGATTCGCGGAGTGCACCTCTCGTTAACCTTAATCGCAGCCCCACGGGTGGACCAGAAGACTAGCATGCGTGCATTGTCCCAGGCGGCGCTTCCCACCCTCCGCTCCCCCCCCGCTCCCCCCCCACCCTACCTTCCTCTCCCACCCTATCCCCCGCTTTTCCTCCCGCTCCTCCCTCCCGCTCCCCTCCCTCTTCTCTCCCCTGCATCTTTCCCCATCCTCTGTCCCTCTCCTCGCACCCCACCACACTCAACAACGGCAAGCCCTGGTGGCTCAGAGGGAAACCCCTCTGTTAATTGTCAACCCTAGCGGCAGCTCGAAGGCGTTCCAGACTGGGACAGGGAGCGGGCAACATAGATTCTCATCCCCCACCCCCGTTAGAACAGGAACTCACCTCCCTGTTCAATGTGAACCCGTTTCCGACTGCACCCCTCACTCATCTCCCTCTCCCCTCCTCCATCCCCTCCCCGAATGCTCCCTCCCCTCGTCTTCCCCACCCACTACTCCTCCTCCCCGCCGTTGCAGGGAAAGCGCTGGTGACTCTGAGGGACCAGCTGACCTTCGTGAACCCCAGCCGCAGCCCCAAGGCATTGCGGATTGGCAGAGCGAATTGCGTAGGTAGGGAGAAGGCTCATCTGCACTGCGCCCCTTCCTCGTGTTCCCGCCACCCCCCTTTCCCCCTCAACCAGGGAAAGCGCTGGTGACTCTGAGGGACCAGCTGACCTTTGTGAACCCTACCCGCAGCCCCAAGGCGTTCTGGAAGAGCGCGGAGAACTGCGAGGCGTTATATGGTGTCGTGTGTGACGTCAACGGCTACGTCACCGCGCTGTGAGTCCTGGCAAAGGGCAAGTCTGTCTGTCGCTGTTATCGCACTGCTGTGGTCCCCAAGGCGTTTTGCAAGAGCGCGGAGAACTGCGAGGCGTTATATGGTGTCGTGTGCGACGTCAACGGCTATGTCACCGCGCTGTGAGTCCGTCCCTTTTGCTGCTCGCTCGGCATTCCCCAGATGTGAATCGCACTGTGGTCCCGTCCCAAGGTCTCTGGAAGAGCGCGGAGAACTGCGAGGCGCTCTACGGGGTGGTGTGTGACGTCAACGGCTATGTCACCGCACCGCTCTGTGAGTGGCAGAGACGGTTTTGGTATGTTTCCTGGTATGTTATCACGCTAGACACTCTGAGTGCCCAAGGCGCTCTACGGGGTGGTATGTGACGTCAACGGCTATGTCACCGCGCTGTGAGTGGCAGAGACGGTTTCGAGTAGGCTGCTACTATTTCGGGTAGGTTGCTATCTGAGGTTCCTCTACCACTTTCCTCCACCTTCCGCGTGATAAAAGTAATGTTTTGAGACGTCTCAAAACATTTCGGGTAGGTTGCTATCTGAGGTTCCTCTACCACTTTCCTCCGCCTTCCCCTCTGCCCTCTGCCCCCCCCACCCCCTCCCTGCCCTCTGCACCGCAGCACCCTAGTGGGAGTGGTGAGTGAGGCCGCTGCTAAACGCCATGGGAAGAGACGTTTGAGAGTCCCCTACCATACCATTCTCCTATTTGAAATCTTTAAAGCCACCTCCTACCCTGCCCCCTACCCTCTCCACTCCACCTCGCAGCACCCTAGTGGGAGTGGTGGAGCCGCTGCCAGCCGCCATGGGAAGAGACGTTTGAGAGTCCCCTACCCCCTGTGTCAGTCAGACGCCATAGGAGTCCCCCACCATTCTCCCATTTGAGAATCCTCCAAGCCACCTCCTCCCCTGCCCCCTGCCCTGCCCCCTGCCCTGCCCTCTCCACCGCAGCACCCTAGTGGGAGTGGTGGGGCCGCTCCCAGACGCTATAGGGAACCTTCCTTCCCTCTCCTTCCTGTAAGCTTTCTCCTCACTGCTCCGCTCTGCCCCCCTGCTCTCTACCCTCTGGCCCCCCTGTTCTCTACCCTCTGCTTTCCATCCGCTTCCTTCAACAATCCGCCGCATTTCAAAGTCATTCAGTTGAGCTATGTTGGCCGTCTTTTGCATGCCTACCTGGCAAGAGGTACAAGCATGGCTTCATCTTCTCCTCCGCTTTTCCACATCCCCTTCATAAGCAGATCCATTACCAGCAACCTGACAAGGCTTCCCTCCACCCTAGTGCAGCTCAGCTCTACACTCACTGCTCTGTACGCCCTCTTTCCCTCCTCACCCTCACACACACTGTAATTCAGTCCCTCACTTACTCACTTACTCACTCGCTCACTCACTCATTCATGTGTTTTCCAATATCACAGCCAGACTTCTCTTGACAGCCCTTTACTCTACTCTTGCACAGCTCAACATGTGCCTATCCCCTCTCTGCATGTCCCCTCTCTGCCTGTCTCTGCCTGTCCCTTCTCTGACACCATTCCTGCTCTTGTGACTCTCCTACACTCGACTACAGCCACTTGGGCTTTAACAACCTTGCTGGAAACGTCCCTTCCACTTTGAGACGTCTCACAACTCCTCTCCCTTCTCTCCCTCTCCCGCCCGCAGCCACTTGGGCTTTAACGACCTTGCTGGAACCTTCCCTTCTGTTGTGACTCGCCTGCTGCAGCTGCGCACACTGTAAGACGGGCTGCTGGCTGCTCTGCTGCATCGCACTGGTGTGTTATTGGCATGGGATTGGCACCTCACTTGCGTGGGATTGACATGCTGTTTTTTCAGTTGACTCAAAGGTCACTTTACATGGCATTTGCGCAGCATTTGCACCCCATTTGCGCAGCATTTGCACCCCATTTGCACCACGTCTGCATGGAATTTGCAGACCATTTACGTGGGTTGGTGTCCTCCCTTCCCCCTAGCATCTCAGCTTAAAACCATTTCATTCATTCATTCCACATTCTCCTCTCCTTTACTTTTCCCGTTCTCCTTTTTACTCTCCGCCGCCCCATCCCCCAGCAATCTCGCTCAAAACCAGCTTACAGGAAACATCCCCGCTGGCCTTGCAAAACTTTCCCGTCTGGCTTTCCTGTAAGTACCCATGCCATCCCATGCCATCCCATGCCATGCCATGCCATGCCATGCCATGCCATGCCATGCCATCCCATGCCATCCCATGCCATCCCATGCCATGCCATGCCATCCCATGCCATCCCATGCCATGCCATGCCATCCCATGCCATCCCATCCCATGCCATGCCATGCCATGCCATGCCGTGCCATGCTATCCCATGCCATCCCATGCCATCTCATGCCATGCCATCTCATGCCAGGCCATGCCATCCCATGCCATCCCATGCCATGCCATGCCATGCCATGCCATGCCATGCCATCCCATGCCATCCCATGCCATCCCATGCCATGCCATGCCATCCCATGCCATCCCATGCCATCCCATGCCATCCCATGCCATGCCATGCCATCCCATGCCATGCCATGCCATCCCATGCCATCCCATCCCATGCCATGTCATGCCATGGCATGCCGTGCCATGCTATCCCATGCCATCCCATGCCATCTCATGCCATGCCATCTCATGCCAGGCCATGCCATCCCGTGCCATGCCAAGCCCACTCCCGCACACTCCATCTCTTTCGCACGTGTCCCTCCCTCTCCCAAATTCAAGTTGCTTTCGAAATTTTATAAAAGCTGCCCCACAGTTTTGACACCGTGACATTCTTCAATCAGTCTTCAACCTTATTCCAACCTTGTTTCAAGTTCAACTGTGTGTGCTGCAGCTTTAAGAGGGCTTATGTTGCCTTGTTGCCTTGTCTTTCCTATCAGCTGCCTTGTTCCTATCAGCTGCTCAAGGGAGATGGAAATAAGTTCCTATCAGTTGCCTTGTTTGCAACTAATTCCCTTCTCCCTTCTCTCATTCCTCCCCTCCTGCGCAGCTGTTTGGACGGCAATCAGTTTACAGGCCCCATTCCCTCGCAGCTCTACTCGCTGCCTTTCAACTCGACTCAAAACACACTTGCCCGCCCCTCCCTTCCTCATGCCCTCCCCCTTCCCCCCCCCACACAGCCGTTTGGACGGCAATCAGTTTACAGGCCCCATTCCCTCGCAGCTCTACTCCCTCACCAACATCTCTTACCTGTGTGTACCACTCTTCCTTCTGTTCAATCATCCAATCAATCGAGAGACCTTTTGAGAGTCTCCCAAGCCTTCATTCCCTCGCAGCTCTACTCCCTCACCAACATCTCTTACCTGTTCGTACCTCCCTTCCTTTCCACTCAACTACTTTCTGAGACATGTCGTGTTTTACATCTCGAGCCTTCCTCAATCCCTCGCTCACCAACATCTCTTACCTGTTCGTACCTCTTAATACCCCTGTGTTTGACGCACTCACCTGTTTTTGAGGCGCCTCAAAAGACCTCCTAGTACCCCTGTGTTTGATCCACGCACCTGTTTTTCGCCTTTTACAATCTTTGAATTTTTTGATTCGTCTTTAAGACGTTTCAAGCTCTACGCCCTCACCTCACCTCTCACCTGTTCGTACCTCCTCGTACCCCCTTGTTTGGCACTTTCACTTGTTGAAATACCCTTCCAGCTCTCCTACTCAAGTACATTCTCTCTTAAGACATCTCAAGGCTTCAAAGCCTCCCATCGCTCATGTCTCCTTTACCTGCTCGCTGCCCCTGCGCTCGCTCTGCCCCTGCCTTCCTCCCTGCCCCCTCCCTCCAGCTCTCTGCGATCAAACCGTCTCTCTGGCAGCATTGCACCGCAAGTCTCAAATTTCAAAGCGCTGCAGCTGCTGTGAGTAACTTCAACTTAAAGCCATTATTATTATTATTATTATTATTATTATTATTATTATTATTATTATTATTATTATTATTATTATTATTATTATTATTATTATTATTATTATTATTATTATTATTATTATTATTATTATTATTATGGTTATTATCTAAAAACGGAATTAGTCCCACTTGCACCAGCAGCACCTGCTGGTACTCCCACTTGCTTCACAATCCCTGCCTGGAGCAGGTGCGAGGCAAGGCAGCCTCAAAAATCGTATTTTGAGGCGCCTAAAAAAACCAGCAGCACCGGCTACTACTACCACTTGCTTCACAATCCCTGCAGTGGGTGCAAGGCAAGGCAGCAACCAGTGCAGGAGTCATTTTTGGAGATGCTGCTTGCACTTGTATGTGCTCTGCTGTGCTGTGCTGTGTTGGCATGTCTTTGACATGACATGTTGTGGCATGGCACGGTATGGCATGTGTATGGCACGGCATGGCATGTGTATGGCACGGCATGGCATGTGTATGGCAAGGCATGGCATGGCATGGCATGGCATGTGTATGGCACGGAATGGCATGGCATGGCATGTGTATGGCACGGCATGGCATGGCATGGCATAACATAACAGAGACTTGAGAGACAACATGCTGACGTCATCCATCCCATCCACTCTCCCAGCATGTGTCAAGCTCTTCTGGCTGTAAGTGGAGGGTGGAAAAACCTTTGAGGTGCCTCAAAAGTCGTCTCATGTTTTGTTTTTGAGGCGCCTCAAAAATGGAGACTGAAACAAGTTTTGAGACGCCTCACAAGCTGGCTGTAAGTGGAGGTTGAAAAATGAGGCTGAAAAGTAGAGGAGCCGGGTATAGAGAACTCCGAAAAAAAAAAAAACAAAAAAAAAAACAAAACCAAGTACTCTACGCTTTCTTTCTTCATTACACTGCGTCCCCTGCTGTCTTCCTTCGTTGCTGTTTCTTGTGATCTATCTGAGCAGCAGTTTGTCTTTGGGCCTATTTTCACCTTGTTCGTCTCTCAACCCTCTCAGCAATCCATGTTCCTTTCACCCCTCCCCCCGTCGTCCCTATGATCATCCTCCCGCCAGCTATCTGAGCAACAATCGTCTCACAGGCTCTATACCTGCAGCCATCGGCAAGCTATCGAGGCTTAGATTCCTGTGAGCCGTCTCATTCAATGCCTGTGAGCTTCAATGTCTCTTAGATGCCATCTGGTCCCTGTGAACCGTCAGAAGCACAACAGTGGCGCTCTGTGCTCAATGCTTAGTGCTCTGTCAAGTGCCCGTGTGCTCTGTCAAGTGCCTGTGTGCTCTGTCAAGTGCCCGTGTGCTCTGTCAAGTGCCCGTGTGCTCTGTCAAGTGCCCGTGTGCTCTGTCAAGTGCCCGTGTGCTCTGTCAAGTGCCCGTGTGCTCTGTCAAGTGCCCGTGTGCTCTGTCAAGTGCCCATGTGCTCTATCAAGTGCCCGTGTGCTCTGTCAAGTGCCCGTGTGCTCTGTCAAGTGCCCGTGTGCTCTGTCAAGTGCCCGTGTGCTCTGTCAAGTGCCCGTGTGCTCTGTCAAGTGCCCGTGTGCTCTGTCAAGTGCCCATGTGCTCTATCAAGTGCCCGTGTGCTCTGTCAAGTGCCCGTGTGCTCTGTCAAGTGCCCGTGTGCTCTGTCAAGTGCCCGTGTGCTCTGTCAAGTGCCCGTGTGCTCTGTCAAGTGCCCGTGTGCTCTGTCAAGTGCCCGTGTGCTCTGTCAAGTGCCCGTGTGCTTAATTATCTTTCTCTCACTTCCGCGCTTTGTTCTTTCTTCCAGCAACGTATTCCTCTCGAACCCCATTTAGAGGCCATGGTTCAATACGTGGCAGCAAGTTATTCGAGTATGACACCAGAGTTTTATATGTCTCGAAAGATCATTCGATTTTTCGGCATATGCGCAAAATGAGGTAACCACCGTGGCTTGTGTGCGCCTCTGGAACAAAATCTCGTTGCTTGGTCCAGCTAACTGACACACCCCTTCCTTCTCTCCTTCCCACCATCCCTCCCTCCCTTCCTCTGTCTCCCTCTACTCGCCCATTCCCCCCTCTCCCTGTCTCACTCGCCCATTCCCCCCTTCATCCTCCTTGCTGCAGGCTAATATATTCCAACCGCCTCTCTTCCACCCTGCCTGCTTCCCTCTCTGCTCTGCTCTCTCCCTGCTCTCCCGCCTCTCCCGCTCCTTGTCTCACTCGCCCATCACCCCTTCATCCTGCCTCTCCCTCCCATCCCCCCTCACCCACAACCCTGCAGGCTCATAGATTCCAACCGCCTCTCTTCCACCCTACCTGCTTCCCTCTCTGTCTCCCGCTACTCTCCCATCCCGCCCTCTCCTTGTCTCTCCCATCCCACCCTCTCCTTGTCTCTCCCATCCCACCCTCTCCTTGTCCCTCCCATCCCCCCTCACCCACCCTGCTGCAGGCTCATAGATTCCAACCGCCTCTCTTCAACACTGCCTGCCTCCCTCTCTGCTCTCTCCCTGCTCTCCCACCTGTGAGTATGAACTCGGTTCAGAGCGGTGCAAACGGAATCAGAGCTCGCTTCCTCTTCCCCCCCTTTTTATTCCCACTCGTGCCAGCGCTGCCAGCACTATCGCCTTTCATGTCATCTCCTCTTCCTCCTCATCCATCCCTCATTCATATCGGCTCCATCCGTCCCACCCTCAGCTCAGCCCCCTCACTGCCCCTCTCCACCCCTCTCCACCCCTCCCAGCGATGCCAGCAACAACACTCTCACGGGCCCCATCCATCCCGGCCTTGGCGAACTCTCCTATCTCGCCTACCTGTAAGCCCCTCTAACCTAACTCGCTTCACCGCACTGCATCCCTCTTCACCGCCCGTGGTGAACTCTCCTACCTCGCCTACCTGTAAGCCCCACCCTGCCTTAGCCTACCTGTAAGCCCCTCGCTGCCTTAGCCTACCTGTAAGCCCCTCTGTGCCATGTCTCTGAAGTTTATTCAAACACCAGCAACACACCCTCTCCAGCAACAACACTCTCACCGGCCCCATCCATCCTGCCCTTGACAAACTCTCCTATCTCGCCTACCTGTAACTCATTGCACCACACCGCATCTCTCTTCACCGCCCTTGGCGAACTCTCCTATCTCGCCTACCTGTAAGTCACTCTACTCTAGATTTTGAGTCAACTCGGATTAAGGTGCCAGTAACAAACAACCTCTCCTTTAACAACCTCTCCTCTAACAACCTCTCCTCTAACAACCTCTCCATCCCGGCCTTGGCGAACTCTGCTACCTCGCATTCTTGAGGGGTGGATGGGGTAGGTAGGAGAGGGAGTTGATGCTAACCCGCACCCACTGCCATGTCATTTGGGTTAGCAACAACGCCCTCTCCTACCTACCCCATCCATCCCTTCCTAAGTTGGGTCTGTACATTCTTGGACCACGTGTATGAAGATTTGTTTTCAGATGTCTCAAAACGTCCTAAGTTGGGTCTTCATACATGGACCGTACGTTCTTGGACCCGGGTAATATCCAACTTAGATCCCTTCCGGCCTTGGCGACCTCTCCTACCCACCTCGCCTGCGCTGAGTCGATTTTTGAGTCGACTCAAAAATCACGTGATAAAAGAGATGTTTTGAGACGTCTCAAAACATCTCTTTTATCACGTGAGTCGACTCAAGAATCGCCTTGGCGACCTCTCCTACCCACCTCGCCTAAGTGTGTGCCCCTCTACCATTCCTTTTTTTTAAGCAAACTCATTGCACCACTGCACTGCATCCCTCTTCACCTCCCCCCTCTCATCCAGCCAATTGGATCGGAACAAGCTTGTAGGGGAAATCCCACCCACCTTGGTCAACCTCCCGTACCTCTATCACCTGTACGTCTGTTCTTATTTACACCTCCCCTCTTTGCGGTCACGCTTGACCCACCACTGACCTCCCACCTTGGTCAACCTCCCTCCCGTACCTCTATCACCTGTACGTTTGCTTTTGTAACGAGGTGGCTTTTGAGTCGACTCAAAAGTCACCTTTTGGGACGTCTCAAAGCACCTTGGCTTGGTCAGCCTCCCTCCCGTACCTCTATAACCTGTACGTTTGTTCTTGTTGTCACCTCCCCTCATCGCTTTGCCTCCCCGATTGGCCCACCACCACTGAACGCCCGCCACTGCTTTGTGACTTTTGAGTCGACTCAAAAACCACCACTTGGCCCACCGCTTTGCCCACCACTGAACGCCCACCACTGAAACCCACCTTGCTCAACCTCCCATTCTTTCACCCCAGTGTTTATCGCACCCCTACCCTGGCACCTTTCCTTCCCCCCACATCTCCTTCCCTTCACATCTGTTTTCTCCCACACATTCACAGACCTCTCGTGCAACCAGCTAGAAGCCTCAGTGCCAGACATCTTTCCCTTTACTGTTTATCGCACCCCTACCCTACCCTGCCACCTTTTCCCCCTCTTCTCCATCTCCGCATATCCACTCCCCCCCCACAGAGACCTCTCGCACAACCAGCTAGTAGGCCCAGTGCCAGACATCTTTCCCCCAGGCAACGAGTTGAGCACGGTGTGAGTATCCGCCTATCTATCCCTCCTTTCGTTGCTCCCTTCTTCCCGTTCACTCACACCATCCCTCCCTCCGTCTCTCATTTCCTTGCAAAAAACTTGGTATCAGTAAAGAAAACCATGCTTCTGGTTTCTGTCTACTGTAAGCGTGGGTTGCAGGTTCAATCACTCTCTCTTCTTTGTGTTTCTTGAGTGAACAAAGCAAACTTTGATTGCAGCAACCAATCTTTTCTTTATTTCTTTCCTTTCCCAAGTCTGTCTGCTTTGTCGCACTTTGGTCTTGAGGTGACTTAAATGTCAAGTTTGCTTCGTCTGTTCTGCAGCACTCTAACCTCTTTGGCGCTTACAAGAATCGAAGCTCCTCTGTCTGATCCATCGCCCTCCCACTCTCATCCCCTTTAGAGACTTGTCTCAGAACAAGCTCACTGGTGTGCTACCAGCCACAGTAGCTACATGCGCATCCCTTGTGTCACTGTAAGTTTCTCTTTCTTTCTTTCCTTTTTCTGTTCCAAATTCTTATTTGTTTCTTTTTACTTTTCTTCTCCACCACTCCCACCCACCCTTCCTCCTCTCCCCTCCCTGCCTCCATCTCGACCCCCACGCACAATCGCATTCCGTTTCCCCGGCAGTGACGTCGGCAGCAACATTGCTCTCAGTGGAGGAACTCTGATCTGATCAGCAGCCTGCTGCACTCTCCAATCTTTCTCCTCTCCTCTCCTCCCCTCCCCTCCCCTCCCCTCCCCTCCGCTCCCTCCCCTCCCCTCCCCTCCCCTCCCCTCCCCTCCCCTCGCCTCCCCTCCCCTCCCCTCCCCTCCTTTCCCCTCCGCTCCGCCCCGCTCCGCTCCCCTCCCGGCCGGCAGTGACGTCAGCAACAACGCCCTCAGCGGCAGGCCGGCAGAGCTGATCAGCAACCTCCAGTCGCTCGCGTACCTGTAAGTCGCTATCGCTCCCGTCCCCTCCCTCCCGTCTCGCTCGCGTCTCTGAGTCGACTCAAAGGTTACCTAGCAACAACACCCTCAGCGGGAGGCCAGCAGAGCTGATCAGCAACCTCCAGTCCCTCGCGTACCTGTAAGTGACCTCCCCGCTCTCCCACCCACCCTCGCGCATCTGTAAGTCAATTCCACTTCCCTCCCAAGGTGACGGTTGAGGTGGCTCAAAATTCACCTTTGATCCCTCTCGCACATCTATGAGCCTCTTTCCCTTCCACCCTCTCTCACCCTCTCCCACCCTCTCCCACCCTCTCCCACCCTCTCCCACCCTCTCCCACCCTCTCCCACCCTCTCCCACCCTATCCCACCCTATCCCACCCTCTCTCACCCTCTCCCACCCTCTCCCACCCTCTCCCACCACTCTCCCACCCTCTCCCACCCTCTTCCACCCTTGTCCAACCTCCTCCACCCAATCCCATTCCCCCCTTCCCTCAGATATCCGTAAGCATTTTCCTTCTCTTTCCCCTCCCCACCCCCTATCCCCCCCTTCCCCTCCCCACCCCCTATCCCCCCCTTCCCCTCCCCCTTGTGCCAGCAATCTCTCGCGCCAGATGATGCAAAAGACGCGTCCTGCGTCCTGGACGCATGCGTCCGGACGCACGCATGCGTCCGGACGCAGGACGCTTCACCAGGACCAGAAAGACGCACCAAAAGACGCAGTCCCGGGCAGGCAAAAAAAACCCCCGGGCAGGCAAAAAAACTTGTTATAGGGCATGGGATGAGGGGGGGGGGGGGGGGGGGGGGGGGGGGGGGGGGGGGGGGGGACGTTCCACACTTTCAAGGCAAACTTGGCCCCAACATCAAATTTTCCCCCAAATCTCAAGATTAAGGTGAGTGACGTCACGTATTGTCACACACATGTCCCAAGGTCACATGCACAGTTCATCGTATCACTGAAGAACACACATACTATTAAACTACCACCACAGCACTGCATGCAGGCAACCAGTCATCTCATCCCATTAAACATGGTGTTTGGGCTTTTGCGGTTTCTTCTCCACCCCATCACTAGTGAAACGCTGCGGGGGAGACTCGTCCTCGGCATGAACATCCCTAGATGCGTTAGATGACGTAGGGTTGCTTGAGGAAGCCATAATGGAGCTAAGCTATGTTTGTAGGCTAAAACCTCTAGGGTTTTCGAAAGAGAATTGGTTGGGTGGGTGAAATGAGAAATGACTTGGTTGGATTGCTAAATGAGCTTGGTGGTAGGCACCTTGGTTGGGTTTTCTAGATGTGAAGTGGTTGAGAGGTATTTGGAATTCAATGGTTGCATGGGGGGTTATGAAATGTTGGGGGGGGGCTGTTTTTCAATGTCGAATTGGGCAATGGGGGGTCAAAATTTCGCGATTTCGACAGTCGCGTCGAAATCGCGAGATTGAAATTCGTAATCTGGAAAAAAAAAAAAAAAAATCGGGGCAGCCCGAAAAATTTTCGATCTGCGTCCTGCGTCTGGACGCGCGTCTTGCGTCCTAGTGTCCAGACGCTGCGTCCAGACGCAGGACGCAGCGTCCTCTGAGCGTCTTTCGCATCGCCAGCAACTATTTCACCGGCCCTCTTCCCAAAATCGCCCTCTTCCCAAAATTTACTTCGCCACAGCAATCGCCCTCCTGGACCTCTTCCGCAACTACTTCTCTTTCCTATCACACCAACCAACTCCATCCCAAACCTCCCTTTTTTCCCCCCTCTCTCAAACCCCCCCCCCCCCCCCCCCCTCCTTCCCCCGCCCCTCCGTTCCCCCCGCCCTGCCCCCCGCCCCACGCCGCATCCCCACACCCCCCCACATCCCCCCATCCAGCAATCTCTCGCGCAACTTTTTTACCCGCCCGCTTCCCAGAGTCTACTCCGCCACAGCCATCGCCCTCCTGGACCTCACTTCTCCTGCAGCTACCTCTCTGTCTCATCACACCAGCGCCAATGCCAATCCTCCTTTTTTTCCCCTTCTTTTTCTCCTCCACTTCTCCCTTGCCGCACGCCCCATGCTCCCCCCACATCCCCCCCCATCCAGCAATCTCTCGCGCAACTATTTCACCGGTCCCCTCCCCAAAGTCTACTCCGCCACAGCTATTGCCCTTCTGGATCTCTCCCGCAACTACTTCTTTGGTCCGGCAAGCATCGTAGACACCCAGGGCATGCCGCTGCTCTCCCAAACCTCCGCCCCAGGCTCGGGAACCATCCAGAGCACCGGAGCTGCAGGTTCGGTGGCGCTGAGCGTGGGGAGGAACTGCCTTGTGTATGATCTGACAGGGACCGGAGCAACAGCAGCATCAGGCTCGGTGCTAGGTTTGGAAGGGCAGAGGAGCGTGGACGACTGTAGCTCGTTCTGCCGAACCGGACTGAGTGGTTCGGCAACCGAAGCTGAGAACATGCAGTGTGGAGGCTCGGGGGTGTGCCTTGCCAAGGTGGTAACCAGGAAGTCGCCTCCAGCGGTTTCGTTCACATGTAAGCAGTACACATTGCACTGTGGAGTGGAAACATGGGAGTCATTCTTGAGAATTCTAAAAATGGAAACATGGGAGTCACACTTGAGAATTCTAAAAATGGAAACATGGGAGTCACTCTTGAGAATTCTAAAAATGGAAACATGGGAGTCACTCTTGAGAATTCTAGAAATGGAAACATGGGAGTCATTCTTGAGAATTCTAAAAATGGAAACATGGGAGTCACTCTTGAGAATTCTAGAAATGGAAACATGGGAGTCACTCTTTGACAATTCTAAAAATGGAAATATGGGAGCCACTCTTGAGAATTCTAAAAGTGGAAACATTCATGCATAATTCTTCCCACTAGATTCATCCCATTAAATTCTTCCCATTAAATTCTTCCTATTAAATTCTTCTCATTACATTCTTCCCATTGAATTCTTCCCATTAAATTCTTCCCATTAAATTCTTCCCATTAAATTCTTCCCATTAAATTCTTCCCGTTAAATTCTTCCCATTAAATTCTTCCCATTAAATTCCTCCCGTTACATTCTTCCCATTGAATTCTTCCCATTAAATTCTTCCTATTAAATTCTTCCCTTCTCACATGACCTGCTGCTACAGTACTCCTCCCCCCCTCGCACCTTCTCCTCACCTCTTCCTCTCCGTCCTCTCCTAACGTAGGTTCACCCTCATTCTATGCCTCGTTTTCTCCCTTGATTTTCCCCTCATTTCTTCCTAACCGTTTCTCGTTCTCTTCCTCTTTCTCTTTCCCTTTTCTCCCCACCTGTTGCCCTGCTTGGATCCTCTCCCATGCCAGGTGCACCCTCTCCTGGATTGCCCAGAAAACCCCCTCCGCCCCCCCCGTCCCCTCCCCCTTCCCCACCACCGCAACCACCACCTTCCCCTCCCCTTACCCCACCCCCCTCCCCCCCTCCTCCTTCCCCACCGTTTTCCTCCCCGCCCCCACCACCCCGCCCTCCTCCCCCCGACTCCATTCCATCCCCGCCTTCCCCCCCTGACTCCCCCTCACCCCCTCCTTCCCCCCCTGCCTCCTCCCCTCCCCCGCCTTCACCCCCCGACTCTCCCCCTTCTCCTCCATCTCCCCCTTCCCCCCCTGACTCCCCCTCACCCCCACCTTATCCCCCCGGCTCCTCCCAACCCCCCCCATCTCCCCCTGACTCCTCCCCTCCCCCACCTTCTCCCCCCGACTCCCCCCCAAACCCACCTTCCCCCCCCGACTCCCCCCCTCCCCCTGCCCCTCCGCTTTCACCTCCCTCCCCACCCTTGCCTCCTCCTTCTCCTCCTCCCCCCTCACCTCCTCCCTCTCCCCCTCCTCCTTCTCCACCTCCCCCCTCACCTCCTCCCTCTCCCCCTCCTCCTCCTCCTCCCCCCTCTCCACCCCCTCCCTCTCCTCCTCCATCCCCTCCCTCTCCTCCTCCCTCCCCTCCTCCCTCTCCTCCTCCCTTCCCTCCTCCCTCTCCTCCTCCCTCCCCTCCTGCCTCTCCTCCCCCGCCTTCTCCCCCCAGCCCACCCCCATCCCCTCCCCCACCCCCCGCGCCTTCTCCCCCACCCCTTGGGTGCTTCTGGAATGGCATAAAGTTTATTTGCAATAAGGTGTAGGGGGGACTGGGAATGCTGTAGGGGGAACTGGGAATGCTGTAGGGGGGACTGGGAATGCTGTAGGGGGGACTGGGAATGCTGTAGGGGGGACTGGGAATGCTGTAGGGGGGACTGGGAATGCTGTAGGGGGGACAGGGGAATGCTCTAGTTGGGACTGGGAATGATGTAGCAGCGACTGGGAATGGTGTTGGGGGGACTTAGGCAGCTGTAACAGGGACTGGGAAAGCTGTAGTAGGGACTGGAAAAGCTCGGACTGGGAACGCTGCAGCAGGGACTGGGAAAGCTGTAGCAGGGACTGGGGCAGGTGGAACATTTGGGGCAGCTGTAACACCAACGAGGCCATTAGCAGGAGAAACAGGGGCGGCTATTGAGGCAGTGGGGAACTGGAGCAACAGAGGAAGCTATAGCAGAGACTGGGAAATCTGTAGCACCAACAGGGGCAGCTGTAGCACCAACGAGGGCAGCTGTAGCACCAACGAGGGCAGTAGCACGAGAAACAGGGGCAGCTGTTGAGGCACTGTTGAAGTGGAGGAACAGAGGAAGCTGAGACAGAGACTGGGAAAGCTGTAGCACCAACAGGGCAGCTGTTAGCACCAACAGGGGCAGCTGTAGCAAATGCAGTTTTTGTAAGAAAACAAAGCAGCAGTTGGGCTATTTGCGGGAGAATTGTGTCACTGGCATGATAATAACCCGAAGTGGAAATTAGTAGGTCAGGTGGAAGCAGGCATGGAGGGTGGAGCACTCTGTCATGCAGACAGTTAACTTTGAAGCAACAGAGTGCTCTCACTAATTTATTTCCCTTTGTAGATGGTCCATCCGACCAGTAATCTTATTATATTTGTATTTCATATTTTCTTCGAGTTTAGTGCCTTTTGTTGCTAATTATAAAGCAAAATACTTCTTTTATCAACTGTTCGACATTGAGGCGTTTTGTGGCGGGAGATGGTTTCGAGCTTTCGCAAGTTCTGGCCCCTGCGAACATTCGGGCGTGTTCGGCAGCACAGGGGTCCAGTGAGTTGGAGGGGTAGGAATCCAAATTCGAAGCTAGGGTTTCTCGTTTGGGCTGGTCTATCCAAGTCAACCGTCGTTGACTCAAGGTATGGGGTCCAGGCGCAAGCGGAACGTTTTGGGGGGAAGGCGCGGACGGGCGATTCGATATTATGGGGCGAACGAACCTGAAGCGGCGCGAGGCGAAGCTTCACACGCAAAACAGTTGTCGGCCTGCCTGTCGCGTTTACTGCTCCGAAATGTTTTTTAGCTCACCTCCCGTCGGCCATTATCACTTAAATGAAGCTGTATGTCCAAATTTAACAATGCTAGGTCGGCTTCAATAGTTGTTGTTTTTGTATCTTGCTTTTTTAACTTCATATTTCTAATGTAGTGTCTGCTCAGAAATTTAGAGTCTAGGGTAGCCATTCACACGAAATGCATGGATCGAGGGATACAATTTTCTATCCCTCGTGAGGTCTGGCAGCCCAAAAGGGTACTAGGGCTTTTTCCGTTATTGGGGAGGATCTGGGGGAGGATGCGACACGAAAGCATGCCTAGCGTGGGCTTCGCGTCGCGTTTTCGGGCCACGTCCGTCATTTCTTTCACAATTTTGGGGTCTGACCGTAGTGTTTTGCCTGGTACGTCAAGGACGAACCTGGAGGCCCGGGATTTAGATTCCCCTTCAGACCCTCTCCCCTGGCTGCCGAACACCACCTTGGCGTGTTGGGCAAGCGATGGTCAGCATTCTTCTTGCGACAAGGGTCCGTTCTTCGCACAGCTCGCTAGTGTGGAGTAGTAGCCTAGCCATCAAACAAGGCCCAAAACAGACAAAAAAAATTCACTTTTTGGGGCCGGAAACGGTCGGTAGCGCCCAGTAGCACTACCGACCGCGTCAACAAGCTGCCCGCGGGCAAAACAAATAAACCCTATGGCTGCCGGCATGCCATTCGGGAGCCTCAACCCTAACATTTTAGGGTTGAGGCTCCCTCGGATGGCATGCCATCCGAGTGAGTTATAGTTTTTTTCTCTTGCCCGCGGTCAGCTTGCTGACTCGATTGCACTGCCAGCTGTGCAATATATTCTTCCAGTTCTGTCCAGACGACGGCTAGGGGCTTGGTCTTGATTCTTATGGCGAGAGCTGCCACTTTAGCGAGTCTGCGCGAAGCGCTAAATCTTTGCTAGAAAACTTGAACCGTTACAAGCACGCGTCGCTTCATGTCCGAGGTGTCGTGAAAGGAGTCGGGGAGGGGGCGAAATGTTGGACAGCTTCGGGTGTGCCGTCCAAAACTTGAAATTCTCAGGCCAGATCCAGTCAGCGAGTTACAGATTTTCAAATCAGGACAATAGAGAAACGCTGCATTGTTCAGAATGAACAACATGACTTCTGCTGCCATTAGTGGGCTCGAACTGCTTGGATGTGCTGTGGAAACAGGTATTAACCAACTCGGTTGTTCCATCTGGACCTGATCGGTTTGGCTCAGTCAGCCCCTCTGCGCTCCGTTGGGAGCCAATGGATGAACGGTGTAGCGCCTCGCGACGCGATTTCTCGAGTCCAGCCCTCAATTCGAGACGCGTTAGCCCCCCCCGCTCGGTCGGAATTTGTACCAAGTAGTCCCTACATCCAGAACATAAATTGCACTCCTCGTCATTTCATTCATTCAGTTTTACCTACCGCTCACGCAAAGTAGCAACCTCATCGCATTCTTTCGGTTCAGAAAGGCCTATCCCAGCAGAAGTGCCCCTTGCTCTACTAGCCTTTGTGTGGGGCTGAAGTGACTCTTCCCGTTTGTGAACTCCTCTCTCCGCCAAAATGGAAGCCGATTGGATGAAACGCGCGGCAGTCTGGACGTTCGCTGGCTTAGGCCTCGCGCTGGCCGTCATCTCCTGCTCCGAGATGGCGGACAATTACCTCGTCATTTCCAACCCGAGCGCGTGCGTCGCGTCGACCAATAGCACCCACTGCGCGGCGGAGTTCCGCGTGGCGCGGCGCTCTCTAGGCGTGGTGCCGCAGTCGCAGGAGCAAGTAACCGTTGCCATGGTTGCGGGGGTGCGAGCGCAAGTCGCGGCGATCATCGCGGCGGCGGACGAAATCAAAGCCAGCAACGTGCGGAACGATCACTTCACGAACGCCATGGCGCGGGCCTGCGCGCGGCAGGCGAACATCGCGCTGCGATACCTGGGGCAAGCGGGCGACGCCATCGAAGCCGGCACGAATCAGCGCGACGTGCCGTATTGGCTCGCTGCTGCCGACACGCAGGTCGATAACTGCGTCGATGGATTCCAAACCTTCTCGCCCTCGACGGAGGGGCTCCCCGCTTACATACACCTCGAGGTTAGTTATATGTTCGATCGAAACAAAATAACACCTCGGTTTTTTTCCGCGCTGAATCATGAGGATGCGTACCC